TTGTTAGTTTTTTTAATAGGACTAGAAAAAATAAACTACCATTAGTTTTTTACTTTTAGCCAACAATTCAGTGTCAGAAAATTATCCATTTTGCATACCTTTTTTAATTTGATGTGATTTTGATCGGACATTAAAATTGATCTTTTGCTACTGAAAATTTTGCTATCAAAATTATTTTAGTAACGAAATCATCCTTTTCAGCTATCAAACATATAGATCTAACGATCAGCAACTGACTCTATCCTCAAGGACGCACTACCTAAAAAATTCCTAAAAGAAAAAAGAATTCCTTTGTTACCATACAAAATGAGAAAATTCAAAAAGCAGTACCAATCATACTAGATATGATAATGTTAAGAGAAGAAAACTTAATGGATTTTTTTTTGTTCAATTACTCAATACGAACACATAGAACTGAAAATCACATCAATTGGAGATCCAAGGATAAAATTATGACTTTTTAAAAAGATATGAACCTCATTCTACATCACATTATATATGCAATATTTATACCTATTGAATATGACAATGCTCTGTGAAAAATAATATGTTCAGCTCGTCACTACAAACAAGTAAAAAGAAAAATCGTTTCAATCGGAATTATTACGGTAAAGTTTTGATATTTTAAAAAGATATAAACATTGTTTTGCATCATGTTATACAGACAGTACTATACCTATCGAATATGATAATGCTCAGCAAAAAATAACATAGTCAACATGGATCTTTGTTTATTCGGTTCGTCACTATGAACAAATAAAAAAAATCATCTCAATCAGAGATCCAACAGTAAAATTATGATTTTTTTTTATAAAAAAATTTCTTATACCACCCAGGCCAGCTCTTGCTACTTCAGCACTAGTTATGTTACTGCCAAATATAGACACTAAGGGTGGCAATTCGTATTAATGGGTCGTGTTCGTGTCAACTCATTTATTAATAGTGTCAGAAATCATAAACCCAAACACAACATGTTTATTAGAGTGTTAAAAATGTCAACCTAAACATGACTCATTTATTAATCGTGTTAATCGTGTTAATCGTGTCAACCCGTATAACCCGTTTAAATTAATATATTGAATAAATAACTAATATAATAATCACTTATTTAACACGGTCATGACAGGTTTAATATGTTTATTGGTCAATTTATCTTTTCTTTTAAGAAAAATGAATGAATTTTACCTACAAATATTAAAATTCACATTATTTATACTTAATATGCCATATAAACTTTCATGTTATATAACATATTATTAAATTGTAGATGACACATATAGTTAATCGTGTCATTTCATGTTAAGAGGTCAACCCTAACCCAACCTATTTATTAATCGTGTGTTAATCGTGTCAACTCGATTATGACCTAAACCCAAACCCGCTAATTTCATGCGTATTTTGAGTTGTGCTGTCATGTCACTACTCGAATTGTCAATCCTAATAGACACTAGTGCTGAAACTTTGGACGAGCCGCCCACGACCATCGAAAATCTTGAATTTTTACCCGATGACCGAGCCTGCCCGAGCCTGAATTTTTGGGCTGCCCGACCCAACCCGAGCAAGACTTTAGAAGGGCAGCCCGAGACCACCCGAGGTGCCCGAACTAATTTTTTAATTTTTTTTATATATTTATATACTATTATATATATTATATATATTATATATAATTTTGTTTATTAATTGTATATGGTATGTAAATAAATAATTTTTAAGTTATTTATTGTAAAAATTATACAAAAATTTTAAGGGAGATTACAATTTGAAATTTGAAATAGACATGAACTACATTAAAAAAATATTTATTTATTAATTTTTAAATTTGTAATTCATGATTGCCTCGTTAAAAACCTTACTAAGAAAAACCCAATTGGGATAAAAACTTGGTAAGGAAAAAAGAATGCAATCATTCTGGGACGAATTACAAATTTGATGAACTTACAAAGTCTATATAAAATTACAATAACACTGTACAAAGTAAATAAATATTTACAAATTACAATAATAAAATTTACCATTAGTTTTTTACCTTTATTTTTGTTTTCGTTTTGCTTTTTTTTTGTGTTGAACACGTTGATAATGCTTTAGTTTAGCTAGTTTTACTGTTCCTTTCCATGTGCAGGTGCGTGTGTCATCTTCTAGCTTTTCAGTTTTTTTTCTTTATTTTAATTTAATTTTTTATCCCTCTTTATTTCTTTAAACTCTTATATATGTTTTATTTTAGGAATTTCTACTATAAGATTAGAAAACTGAAACTATCAATAATTTTTATCCCTCTTTATTTCTTTAAACTCTTATATATGTTTTATTTTAGGAATTTCTACTATAAGATTAGAAAACTGAAACTATCAATAATTTTTATCCCTCTTTATTTCTTTAAACTCTTATATATGTTTTATTTTAGGAATTTCTACTATAAGATTAGAAAACTGAAACTATCAATAATTTTTATCCCTCTTTATTTCTTTTGATTCTAGTACTCTAGTTTTTTTTTTCTTTTTTTTCTTATAATTTGATTCTTGTGTTATGCCTATTGTTGTTCAAGATATAGAACAAGGAAAAATCAAGATATAGAACAAGGAAAAATGAGATTGCTACTAATGTCTTAGAAGTTTGTTCACAAGACATGCAATTTATATATGTCCTACCGGGATGGGAAGGTTCAACGCACGATATGCGTGTGTTAGATGGTCTCATTTATGTGCTTTCTACTGTTGATAATGATTTAGCTGGATTACAAGCCAACTTGTATCAAGAAATGCTGAAAATTGATGGCTTAGATGATGATCAAGTTCATGATGCCACCAATATTTTAGCAACAAAGCATGATTTGTACATGATTAAGGGAAAAGAAGACAAAATATCTTTAGAAGTACGTGAGTTTTAAATTTTTATCTTTTACTCTTGATTAATATCTTTTTTAATCAAATACTATATTAGTCAAAAGCGTATTAATCAAGAGTAAATGATAAAAATATAGACTCATGCCCTCTAAGAGAGAGTTTAGCGATTTTCTCAATTAATTAATAAATTAAAAGGCTCAGGTGGGCCGGCAAAGTGCACGAATTTTATCAAATACATCTCTCATATTATGATGGCTCTTTTCACAACTCAAAATTTTTTACTATAGTGTAATCTCTCATAAAAATTCAAATTTCACTTTTTGATTTTAGTGTTTTCTCCCGCACAAAAAGTTTGAGTTGTGATTTGAGTTTGAAAAGGATAGCCTAATAGTTTCTAGCATATAAAAAGAGTATCATTTTAACCTCTCTCCATGTTTCCAAGCCAAAAAAAAAAAAAAAGCACCTCTCTCCTCATTCCACTTGTACAATTATTTTTTTAAATCCTATATCTATACCTTAAAGAACGGTTTGAAAACTAGGTTTTGTACCCCAAAAAGATAAACAACAACAACAACAACATAACAACTAAACATTTGAATAATGCATCTCAAGTAAAAATAAAGTAATCCTATCAAGTACAACTAAACATTTGAATAATGCATCTCAAGTAAAAATAAAGTAATCCTATCAAGTACTATGTTTCTTCGAGACAATATTACATTCTATGAATACTAAAGAAAACTTCAAGACAATATTACATTCTATGAATACTAAAGAAGAAAACAAAAGGAAACTTGGATTAGAGTCAGGCCACTTGTAAGAGTTGAAGTGTTAAGTGAAAATGACAAGAAAAACAAAAGGTTTGAAGTTGTCTGAGAATATGCATGCCCCTAAACAAAGGACAGGACAGTGAGCGTATATATAAATATATATATATATATATATATATTATTGCCTCTTGGGTTGACCCAAAGAGCACCCATTTGATACGTTACGTTTTGTTTTAATTTATATAGTATTAGTCCTCACAAAAAAAGACAAACCAAATGAACTCAAAAAAATAGAAAATTTATCTTTAAAAGTACATGAATCTAAATTTTTATTTTTATTATTGATAAATACCTTTTTATTTGTGTAATTATTTGACTATAAAAATTATAAATTAAGAGTAAATAATAAAAATTCTGATTAGAAATATATGTCAAGATTACCTGATAAGCTCTCCATGTTAAACTAGAGTCGCTTAGCCCATAAGCAAAGCATCGTATATATCCTATTCTTAGCTCTTCTTAATTACCCACTAATTAATCTCCTTTTAAGCTCAAGAAAACTTTATGTTTTGAATGTTTCAGATAATGTTGAAAAAAAAAAGAAGATAATTCTTGGTGAGGTGTAAAAGAAACCATAATCGGTACTTTGCAAATTGCAATGCAAACTTATCATATGTTTATAAAGTTTTACAATATTGTTTCGGAAAAGCCGTGAATTCTTCCTATTAATTTTGTCTGCTATTTAGCAATCTCAAAGTTTCATTTTTGTTTTCAAATATCAAATAAAAAATGAGTAATTTTAATTCTTATATGATTTGGTTGTCAAAATTTGCAGATATAAAAAAATTAGAGAGAATGTATTGTCAAATCTCAAACAATTTTCTTTTAAAAAAATATTTTTTTATTTAATATTGTTGTGATCAATTGATCTAACCATTATCATTAATAGGATTTTTATTTTTTTAATTCTTAAAAAGGGTATGAAATACAATCTAGCATAGAACACAATTTTTTTTAAGTGTCGTATCTTTACGATCAAATTCCATTAAATGGTCATAAGTATTTTATTTAATTTGATATAATTTATAGTTAAAAACATAATTAAATTAAATTTATAGTTGAAAACTATGTCATATGTGTATCTGTTTTTAATGCCGACATCGTCAGTCAAGGCTTGAAGATAAGAACCAATGCACATTCACATCTAAAAAGTCTTGGTCAACGGTCAACTCAAAAGAGTGACATCTTTCTCTCTTTCTCTCATCATTCCAATGGCTTTTTCGTAATAACAATGAAAACCCAAGGTTTGTTTAATAATTTGGACTCGATAAAAAGTTTCAGTTTGGAATTTGCACCAAACGTTGTTGCCTTGTTGGAGTCCGCCCTCTCTCTCTCTCTCTCTCTCTCTCTCTCTCCTTAATTTAGCTCACAAAAGAAAGAGAAAAAAAGGATTCTAACTCAAAACCAGAAAGGAAAGGTACTTTATTTCTTCACTGAATTATTGAAACTAGAACAAAAACTCCGAACTTTGCTATTTCTACTTATTTATTTATTTTCTGACACAGATCTGAAATTTTTTTTTCCATTTTTGTCTTCTTTAAGGGAGAAATTTGCAACAAAAAAAGAAAGCAAAGAAGGAGCAATGAGTGTTTTACACAGTAGTCAGAATCTAATGTGTTCAGAGATGGAAGTGATGATGATGGACTCATCAAATAACTTGGCTTGTTGGCCCCCTTCAAGCCCAGAAGTGGAAATGATGTTAGAGAGGTACATTTGTAATTATGGACCATCATCATCATCACTACCGTCCATTTTTATGAAGGAAGAAGAGTTTTCATCAGATCAGGAATCAGATCATCAAGCTCAACATTTTGATCAAGCTTTTCTTGATCGTGATGGCACTACTACAATTAATGTCAACACCATTGATAGGAATAATCTCGTTAGGCAAAGTAGCTCTCCGCCTGAGTTTTTCTCTCATTTAACCCCCCACAACAACGGTAAGGTTTATTATTGTTTTTGTTTTTCGTTTTTTTTTTTTTTTTTTTTTTTGTAATAAAATTAGATGTATGACTAATTCTTTAATGAACTAATAGGATTTACTGCTATGAGAGGAGACGGTAGACTTGGTAATGATCAATTAAATTTCTCATCTGGATCACCTACATGCTCAAGGAAAATGCCCCAGATTGCTGAAAATGGGAATGATTCTAATTGGGATAATAATTCTTCACTCAATGGCCTCGAAAGAACCCGAGATCACAATGATGTGAAGATGTTTTCTAGTTCAACTGCATTAGAAATTCAGGTAAAAATTTGTAGATTGTGTTCTTTTCTGTCATTCCTTTTCGCCATTATGTTTGTGTCACTAATGAGTGTTAATGTTCTCTTGCAGCAACAGAACACAGTTTTGGCGCATCATTTGAGCTTGCCGAAGGATTTTGGGATGCCTAGTAGAGAGAAGGTCTTGCATTTTCAGGGCTCTGTTCCTTGCAAAATTCGAGCCAAAAGAGGCTTTGCCACTCACCCGCGCAGCATCGCAGAGAGGGTAAGAAAAAAAATCTACTGTCCTCCGTTTATGTTGCGATTCGTTTTTGGTTTTGTTGACGAGCATTCGGAATCGAGATGATTTTGTTGCTCATTCCAAACTAAGCTGGGAAAAGAATTCATTACAAAATATTGTATCATGATTTTAGGTGAGAAGAACTCGGATTAGCGAAAGGATGAGGAGATTGGAGGATCTTTTTCCAAACATTGACAAGGTAACTTAGACGCTCACTAATCTTAAATTATTCGATCTTTTCTCTTTTCTGTGATGTGTTTTCTTTCTTTCTTAGAAACTAAAGGGTCTGTTTAGTTCGTTGATTCGAGTTTTTAATTTGAGTTGAAATGTGACTTTATGTGAAAACTTTTTACTATAACAAAAAAGTTAAATGTGAATGTTTTTTAAAGCTTTTTACTGTAATAAAACTCGAATTCTAAATTTGAATCGGTAAAATGAACGGGGTCTAAATTGTTTTCATTGACTTTTTTTGACAGCAAACAAGCATAGCTGACAAGTTAGAATTGGCAGTTGAATACATTAAGGACCTTCAGAAGCAAGTTAAGGTACAATGGATTGTCGAATTCTAGATCCGACGAAATGAATCTGAACCAACTTCAGTTACCTTCTGTTTTGTTCTTCAAGTAAAACTGATAACCTCGAACATTAAAGGTGAACTAGCCACATCCCAACAACGTTGGCACCTGACTAGCCAACCTATCATACATTGTTCGTGTTATCGACCTTTCTAACTCTACCTCCCCTTAATGTATATCATTTTTTCGCTTTTCGATGCAGACGCTTGCAGATACGAAGGCCAATTGCTCGTGTTCAAGTAAACAAAAGCAGCATTCAAATCCTTGTGGATGATTTGTTCATTGTAGATGTAGAAGAAAAATAATGATTTTCAGGGTATTGAAGATATTGTTAGTAATTCGGAATAATGAACCTGTATTGTATTGTATCAGCTAGGTTTAGGTCAATAACTAGGCTCCTCCTTTTCAAAATTTTCCATGCAAACAAAGTGACAGAAAAAAAGAAAAAAAAAAAGTAAAGAAAAGAGGAAAGGGGAGAATTTCTGTCTTCTCAAGGGTCTTAATATTATTGTTTTAGCAACTTGGTGTGCTCTTCTTTTTGTTATTCTTCACTAAAGTTGTTTTGCCTAGAGCTAGTTATATGCTCTTGTTTGTGATGGTCCAACAGGAATTTCAAAGTCAAATATATAAACCTTAATGCAAGGTAAACAGGTCAACCACATTTCTTACATTTAATTTTCCTATATGAAGAATTATGCCATACGGCTTCATTAGACCAAGAAGAAAATATATATATATATATACACACGTATATATGTAATATATGTTGCTCTAAACTCATTCACTCGACATAGTAATGAGAAACGAAAAAAAAAATTACAGACAAAATGATTCTGTGAATGAAGCAATTTGAAGCTCCGAGTAGGCCTCTTTACCATGAAAATTTGTCTTTATGACATTAGCTCTGCCTCGTGTAATAAGCCAAACAAGAAAACAAAACTTTAGGTCAAAATTGCAATACAGGAGAACCGTTTTACATGAACTACATTCTCTTCAACTACTCAATCCTCTATCTAGAACTTGCCCTCTTTCCGTTTCCTCGATTTCTTTGGGTGAGTCTTTTTGTTCTTCGACGCGCTCGTTGAGGGTTTCGTTTTCTTTTGTTCTTTAGATGATTCTCTATTTTCATCATCTTCCTCGTCGGAAGGAACCATATCAGTCGCATAACCATCTTCTTCATCTGTACTAAGTACAAAGTCCTCCACAACATCTTCATCATGGCAAAATCTTCTTTTTCCTCTTCTTGTTCGATTCTTTAGGTTGTTTAGCCCTGTTAATTAACCAATCACACAAAACGTAAAAATTGTTGAACACAAATCAGATTAAGAAGAGAAAAGAAATGGAGAGATGTAATCGCTATACTTGGAATCACTTCCTAGTAACCAGGAAGAACTGAAAGCGGCATTGCCTTCTTCGTCCTCGGTATGATCTTCTTCATCATCACTTCCGCGCATCTCATTCCCAATGATTTTTCACCAACAAGAAGACTAGAATAATAGTATTTTCAAGCATGTTAGGATCAGAATCTCAAACATGAAAAAAAGAAAAAGGGGATATAAAAGACAACAAGATGATCAGAAACCTGGATTCTGTCAATGCATCGGTTCTTTGTTTAGCTCTTTCGCGAAGAGATACTACATACTACAACCAAAACAAAAATGTTTTCAGGCCAGTCAAAGACGATACTTTTGTACTAAATAGATTCACAAACACAAGGGATTTGAGAGATTTTTAGCATCTTTGCTACCCAGTAATTGCAAAGGCGAAAACTAGACCAGCTTGAGGTTTAAAGAAGCAACTTTTTGCATTAAAGTTTAACAATTAGTATGAAAATGAAACACTGTAGAAGAGGAAACTGGAATAAAATTACCAGTTGCAGCAGTGATTCGGTTGAGTTCTAGCACATCTCAATCGAAGAGGAAAGGTATCTGGCAGTTCATGAAGTTCCACTCATAAACTTTGCGAAACGCTTCCTTCAAGAAACAACCAAGAACAAAGCACAAGTTAAAATGCAAGAATACATACTAAACGGAAGAAAAGGAAAACTCTTTAAAACCTCCTTCTCATCAATAGTTAGTTCTCGAAATGACAACTTTTTGGGATGATCTGATGAAAAAGCTTTTAAGTTCGATGAAGAATGACAAACACCTTATCATGTTTTCTATCAACGAAAAACAAACAAATCATACCTTAGTTTTCGTAAAAAGTGCCTCCCGTAAAGATCATTGCCAATTGCCGAATGAAAACAAAGGCATGTTGGTATGCGGTTGGGATGTCCACTCCAGAAAGTTCAATAACACAATTCTTAAGAAACTGGATACGATGTAATTTCACAGCATTTATAAACTGGCAGTTCAAGACATGGGCTTTGTATATCCCTTCAAAGCAGTCATCTAAGTAATCAGATCGGAGCAGGATACATAGATCTCTTAAAAATAGTAACGAGACAATGGGAAGGGGGTGACTTTGTAGGCGAATCTTGAGGGAATCAAGAGACAACACTGTGTGGTAGATTCGTATCATGATTCGAATCATGGTTCGTAATTTACTGTAATATTTTTTCTCATAAAAATACACATAAATTAAAAATAATTTTGAATTCATAAATCATGATTCTGAATCCATGAATCTATTGCTTATACCAGTTAGACCAATTACAAAGCACGGGCAGAGAGACTTAAAGAAGCCAGTTAGACCAATTACAAAGCACGGGCCGAGAGACTTAAAGAAGCGCTTAATGGACTCATTCAAGAAATATGGACTGCTTCAAATTGCAAGTTGGGCCCAAATAATGAACATGGTTTAATTAATTTAAGGAAAATAGTAAAAAATAGGTCAATATAAAAATTTTAAAAAAGTATATAGGCTAATTTTTAGTTATAGAAATTAATAGGCCATAACTTGTCAAGTTATGGTTCATAACCAGATAAATTATGGGCAAACTTGTCAAGTTATGGTTCATAACCAGATAAGTTATGGATAAAAACCGTAAATAATTTGTCAAGTTATGGTTTATAACCAGACAAGTTATGGATAAAAACAGTAAGTTTGCCTATTTATTAACTTATGTAAACTATTGACCTATTAATTTTAATTCATCTCAAATCTTGGCCTATTTCCTTATTTCTCCCTTAATTTAATCCAAGTCGTTGATGGGCTTCCCCAAGCATGAATGGTGTGATTTATTGGCAAATGGGCTGATTACTTTTGGGCATTCCTATTCCAATTTGGCGTCAATTTCTAGAAGCTTTACGGGTGATTTTGTTTCTAATTTTGGAGGTTGACTTTCCCATTCCTTTGATACTTGGTAGACAATTTTTCAGCCAATTTTCAGACCATTTTGGCGCGGAGAATCTGCTAATTTTCAACGTAAAAAGTTTCCAGTTTAGAGTCAAATCAGTTGCCCAATTATGCTCCTTTTAACTTTCCAATTTTGGGATTTAAAGTCCCGTTCATTTCCCCGATTCGAGTTTAAAATTTAAGTTTTATTACAGTAAAAAGTTCTCATAAACAGTCACATCTAACTTTTTTGCTACAGTAAAAAATTTTCACACAAAATCACATCTCAACTCGAATCAACGAAGTGAACGGACCTAACTTTCTCATTCTTTGTGGGCGTGCATAATTGTTGGGGTTTATTTTCTAGAATATTCTTGTGTTAGGTGAGGATTATTTTATTATTTTGTGTGTTTTTATGTTGGCCTATAAATAGGGCCCTTGGGCACCCATTGTAGGAGAGTTGTTTTCAGAGATAATAAAAGTATTGTGAGGTTGTTCCTCTTGGATTCTTCAAAGAATTTTTCCAAACACATCACGGTAGTTTTTCCTTTGTAGCGTTCATACACTTATACCTTTGATTCGTGACTCTTATAATCATTGGGTCAACGTTTTCATCTACTTATACCTATGGTAAGCGTTTCTTTATAAACGTTGAGTCAAGGTCCAGCCAATCACGAATCTGTATTGTAGCTTTTCTAGGCATTCTATCAAAGTATTATTGTGGGGTCTCAATGCAGGTCGCTTGGGGTTCGCATCACTCAAGGACAATGATCTCAACGCTTTCCTGACCAGTTTTGCCTTAGAATTATTCACTAAGAACAAACGATTCATTAGTTATATCACAGAGACGAGAATTGAAACATGTAATCGTTTCAGTTTCAAGTATTCAGAAAATTTCAAACCTGATAGACAAAATCTGCAACTTAGACAATCTGACAATTACAGTGCCCTCATGAGCAGTCTCCAAAATCTCCCACGCCTTTTTTGCTGAGTCACATGTAGATATTAACTTGAATTGGTTGGCGTCAATTCCATTGAAAATCGTGTTGAAAACACGAGAGTTGTAGTTAGCCAATTTATCTTTATCAGTTGACCACGAGACTTCAGGCTTTAGAGACTCCTTCCCTTCAGCATCCTTAGTTACAGGATGAGTCCAGCCATTTAGAACAGCACATCAGACCTTCTCATCTAAGGACTTGATGAAAGGCTTCATTCGGACCTTCTAATATCAATAATTCGCACCATCGAGCAAAGGGGACAAATAACTGAACCTCTTTCCTTCAGAAAATCTATTCCAAACATAATAGATTAATCTCCCAAGATCTCACTAAGCGAATGGTCAGTGAACCGCTGATTATACGTCTGGTGCTCTAGATGGTGTTGTAACACAGTCCTGGGACACTGCTTAATTAAATAAGATCCAGATTAATTATGTTCAATTTATGGATCAGAATAAAGTGCAGAAATAAAAAGAACACGTAATATGGTATTGCAATTCGGTGTGCACACCTACATCTACAGGGCTATGCACAAACAATAAATAGTTCACCATGTTCTAGAAATTACATATACTAACGGACTTATTCACACAGGACTCCCTCCTAGACAATGACACCGCTGTGATGAATTTTCATAGTGATGATGTTTAGCGTGCACCACACGTCTTCTATTCACCCGGTGAATTCCCTTCGATAGGCAGAGCTTCCTCCCGAAAGCAACAAGCATCTCTCTTGAAAGATGTAATGATTTATACTCAAAGGCTCTCAAAAGCACATATGTCTCTCTGAATATTTCTCTGTAAAAGCTTTCAAACTCACAAACTTTTTCTCTTGATATTTTCTCTATTAAAACCGTGCAAAATAAGCTAAACGCAAGTCCTTAAAATAAGGCTTCTAAAGCTGCTCAAGAATCTCTCTCCTAAAGATCTTTTTTTTTTCTCTATAATTCTCTCTTAGATTATTTTCACAAAATCTTCTCCTCAAAATATTTTCACAGTCTCACCAGTAAAATCTCCCTCATTCTCTTAAAAGAATATCACACATAATCTCATTTCAAAATAACTCCACAAGAAAATCTCTCTGGAAAATCTTCCACAATTTTTTTTTTTTCTGAAAATAGAATCTCCACGATTTTATCTCCTTCATTATCTCACTTAGACTTCCTCTAAACACACTGATTAAATAAGCCTCCCTTTAATTCAAATCACCAATACCCATTTGAACTTTTAAATAAAACCCAACCTTTAATTCAAATCACCAATACCCATTTGAACTTTTAAATAAAACCCAACCTTTAATTCAAATCACCAATACCCATTTGAACTTTTAAATAAAACCCAACCTTTAATTCAAATCACCAATACCCATTTGAACTTTTAAATAAAACCCAATACTTTAGTCTGCTTACACCACACCTCCACGTTTGTAGTATTTTAACGTTTAAATCCCAAAGCTTATCTCACGCAAATTACTGACCAAGTGCAATCAAATCATCTCCAATAAATTCAAATATGCAACTCTTGAGCATGAATTTAAATCTTCTCAACACCATATTCCAATTACTTCACAAAAACAATCAAATCCGAATTAATCTTGACTTGTAAGCTATATCTCCATTTAAATTTAAAACTAAATCCATATCACTTTATATGCATATAAGCCATCTTCCTTCCAAATTCAAATCACCATTTTCAATCATTATCTCCACTGATCACAATTCAACAAAATCTGCAACTTCAACTTCAAATATGATTATGAATTTTCTTCTGTAATCCAAAATCTTCTTGAATATGTTTTTTAAAATTTTACAAAACTGTTAATAAATTATCAACTAATAAAAATACCTAACAAATACCAAAACTAATTTAGGAACAATAAATGAAAACTACTTTTCACGAATGATAGTGCAAAATAGGAGAAGTTGACACAAGAAGTTCAAGAAGCACAGGTGCTAAAAAAACCTATAATTTTTTCGCAGACTCAAGACTAACAGTGTTTTTTTTTTTCATAGGTTTAAACTACAATTCAAAGTATAATGATTTTTCTCGTAAAAATTTAAATTTTTACTCAAATTTTCTCCTCAAACCTACGAACCGTAAATTATTAAGTCCCTGTTTAGTTTACTGGTTTGAACTTTTTTATTTGAACAGAAGTATTCAAACAGTGCAGTATTGTAGTTCAAATTGGTGTTTAGATATGTAGTTAAAATTTTAATTTGAACATAGAATAAAATTCAAATTCGTATTTAGTAGGTCTAAAATGCAAAGAGAGTTAACATTTTTTTACTATTTAAAAATGGTTTGAATGGTTAAATTTATGGGAGGAGTTAAACTTCTAAGTTAGACAATTTAATTTAATTTAAACGAGAAATATAATTTGAACTCCATACTTACTAAAAATTTAAATTATTCTCACGGTTTACACTGAGTTAAACTAAACTAAATAAACCGAACTAAATTAATAAAATAAACCGGGGAAAGGCTTTTCAAGCTAAGTATTAAATTGCACAAAGTTCAAGGGAAACATGCGCCAAAAAAAAAAAAAAAAAAAGTTTCTGTTTTTCTTGACAAGCTTACATCAATGTTCTATTCATTGAACTGCTGAACTTCCTGGTCATGCGTTTTCAAGTATTCATAGAACTCTGGTTCCTCCTGCACAAAACAATAGGAAATGACTTAAATACCCTCAACCCCCAAACCACTTTTATGCTTACAACTAAAGGACAAGAAGAAGAATATTTTCATGATGAGCAATATATATATAAATATATATATATATATATGTATTTGTTAACCTTTTCTTTAAGCTTTTCCAAATAACCAGTAAAATACACCAATTTAGCTTCGAAATGTGGTGCCACATATTCATATTCACAAAAAGAACGCATTTTGATAAGTTATTAGAAAATGTAATAGAACCCAGAAAATCAATTGCAACAAAGTAAAAGAAAAATCACAACTTTACACAAAATATATACACACACACACACACATATATATATATATATATATAATGATAGTTTGTTTGATAATCGCGCTCTCTTGAATGAAACTCTTTGTTCTTCTCTTTTGAGTAGGCCTTGGGCATTCCCACTAGGGAGGAGATTAAATGCCACAGGTATAAGTATCTGGAGGCATACGCTGGTTATTATGGACGTTTAGTTTGGAACTTTTGGACTTGATCATGCACAAAATGCCATATCTACCCATTAAATTGTGTGTTTGTTGAATGAAATTGTTTGAGGATTTCCTTTTTAGCTGGAATATTTTCATGCATTCTTTAGACTTGGCTTGGCTTTACGTTCGTGGTTGTGGTTGTGGACTGATTAACAAACTTTTTTTTAAAGGATTATATGTTATGTTGTTTATTTGATCTTGCTATTTAGTTAGGCTAATTGTTTGTATGCTTTTCAATATTTTTTTAGCTTTTGAAATTGATTTAAACCGGTTGAAATGAGCCATAAATAGGTTGAAATATATCATAGTTTGATACACTATAGATCATAGTCAGGCAAACTATGGATTATAGTTTGACAGACAATGACCGGTGGCCAGCATAATTTGTTATAATATAGATCATAGCCTGATAGACTATGATAGGTTGGCTATCGGAGGCCCGTTGGCCAGCGTATCATGACAGGCTATAAGTCATAGTCGGATAAACTATGGGTCATAGTCAGATAAACTATGGGTCATAGTCTAACAAACTATGGGTCATAATCTAACAGACTATGACTGGCCAGCGACAGAAGACCTGAAGGCCGGCATAATCTGTCAGATTATTGGTCATAATCTAACAGATTATGGGTCATAGTCTGATAGACTATGGCCGGCCGGCAACCGGAGATCCACCAATGGCGACCGGATACCCAGTCCGCCCGCGGGCGACCAAAGGACCTGCAAGGATCTTTATAAATTAGCCATAGACCATTATGGTATTTTAATAATCTATTAATGGGCCATTTGATTAGTTGTAGTCTAAAGGGTAGAAATAAAATAGCTAATGTTGGGGTTAATAATAACTTGTTGTACTATTTTAAGGAGTAAGTGTAAAAATTAACCGATCTCAATCCGTGTCCGATTCAAAACTTTTTCGGATCTAATCCAAAACCTATCGGATTATGCGGATTGAATTCACAGATTCTACGGATTATGACCTTTAAAATTAACAAATTATTTAAACATCCATACAAAATAACACAACATGAAATTTTCATCATTTATCAATATTTTAAAGTTCAAAGTTTGCAACATCCATAACCCACATAAACATAGTATAACATAAAATCCTTCAACAAATTCTAAATTGTTACAACCCAATTAAAACTCAAAATAGATTCAGTAAAACTGAAAATGAAATCTTCATCATTCTTAAGTGTTACTTTGAAGTAACATAAATGGACTAGGTAAGAAACTAAGAATATCAGCTTGCTATAAAATATGAATAATAAAAAAATATTACATTTTCATACATATACAATTTTTTTAAAAATAAAATAAAATAAAACTTATCCTATAAAAGTTATATATTATATATTTATAATATGTTTCGGATTCACCGATTTTGCGAAATGAGAACCAATCCGAAATCTTCAAATTAAAAAAATCTCAATTTGTGTTTAATTTAAAACTTTTTTCAATTTAATCTAAAACTTTAAATTGAATTAGATTTGATAGACCAATCGGATTAATGGTCCATGAACACCTCTAAACAAGAGGCTAATTGTTGTCGTATGGTCTTTTTTCATTTATTTTTAATGAAAAGTTTAATGGAAAAGAATTAAACGGAACTAATTTAAGTTTCGTTCACTTTGTAGATTCGAGTTTTCAATTCGAACTGAGATGTAATATTTTGTGAGAATTTTTTACTGTAATAAAAAAAATTAAATGTGACATATTTTAAGAGTTTTTTACTGTAAAAATTTAGAACTGCAAACTCGAATCGGTGAAATGAGCGAGGCCTCAAAATTCAAAGAGTGAACGGGAGTATTAAAACCTTTAGGGCGAAATGAGAATTAGGCTAAATTCTGAGGCGGGAGTGAGAATAATCTAAATAAAAAGATCTTTAATTAATTAATTAAATTTTAAATTAATAAGACTACACAAGCAGCCTAATGGCCCTTGGTCATCTTTCTCTCTCTCCAAAAATTCATCAAATTGATCTAAAGTTTTTCCCTTTTTTTGTATAATCATGGCGAATCTGCAGAGCAATTTCAACCAGAAGATCGACTACGTATTCAAGGTGGTTCTGATCGGAGACTCGGCGGTCGGAAAATCTCAGCTCTTGGCTCGTTTCGCTCGCAATGAGTTCAATTTGGATTCCAAAGCCACAATCGGCGTCGAATTCCAGACCAAAACTCTTCTCATCGATCACAAAACCATCAAAGCCCAGATTTGGGATACTGCTGGTCAAGAAAGGTATTTATTTTCTAATTTTCTTGATTTAGGGCTTTTTTTATTTATTAATATTAGCCTTGATTACTTTTAATATTAGGATGATTAACTCAAATGATTTAGAAAGTTGTATTCTTTTCTCCTTTTGAGTTGTTTTTTTTTGTACTTTTTTTATATTGGTTCCTATTTTCGGCTTTGATAATTGAGAATTGTTAAATAATTATTTTTATGACTCTGTTAATAAAGGTATTTGGAAAGAGTTTTTTTTTTTTTTCCAATTTAAAATTGTAAAATTTTTGATGGATGCTTAGTTGGACTTTAAATCATAGTTGGTTTTGTATGAAATGATGATCAAACAGTCGATCTTTATAATCTGGGGGAAATAGGAAAGATTTGAATGAAACTGAATTGCAGTTAGATGGGTTTGAATTGAGGCCATAGTGAATTGAATTCGGTGTTCGTGGTTGTTAATTTCTGGATTTTTCAAATTTAGTGTCAACATAATGGTTTGTGATTAGTAAATCTTTGTAGTATCTTATGAAGAAAAGCTTGATATTCATGCAAACATAATGGTTTTAGTAGTAGTAGTAGTTGTTGTTTCATGAGGTTAAGCCGCTTAAATTGCATCGATGAGGCGGGATTTTGCCTTTGGAGTTTCATTCAGAACTTTGCCAAATCGTGATTGACAAAAGTGGAAATCGTTAGGTGACGACGATAAGCGTTCTTCCTATTAGTGGTGGATTCTGAGTTGTATGCCTGAGATTCTGTTGAACGGAAGAAAAGTAGCGACTTTAGATTGAGCAGATTCTCTTATTATTGTTTAAAGAAGATATGAGTTAGTGATGGTGATGATGATGGCGGGATGATAGATGAACAATAAGGAGGGTAGAATATTTTCTTTATTAAAAAAAAAAATGACGAAGATAGATGTTCTCTCTTCCTTGACACTTTGAATGCGGATTCAGTTTGTTCTAAGACCACTATCATGTTAAAATGATAATTTTCCACTCGGCAAAGTATGATTTTTCGCTTTTTAATTTGGTAATTCATGTGTAATCTTGCCTCAAAATATTCGGAGAGTTTTTTTTTTTTTTTAAAACAGTGTATAGGATTTATGACCCCATTTGGTAAAACGAGAAGGGGGTCTGAGATCATACTATTTATGTTCCTTAGGCTTATTGCTTAGTCCATTCTCTGCTAGAAAGTCATCTAAAATTTATGAACATAGACATGTTATTCATTTGTATTGACCTCGATATTCGCGATATCTGCCTTGTATAAGACTCATTTTCCTGCTGAAACCATCCAATATATATGAATATCAATGTTTTTTCTGCGCTCTCAATGAATTACAGATACCGAGCAGTGACAAGCGCATACTATAGAGGTGCAGTGGGGGCGATGCTAGTCTATGACATAACCAAGCGTCAGTCATTCGACCATGTCGCCCGGTGGTTAGAGGAATTGCGGGGCCATGCAGACAAAAACATTGTCATTATGCTTGTGGGGAATAAATCTGACCTAGGGACTCTTCGAGCTGTACCCACCGAGGATGCAAAAGAGTTTGCGCAAAGAGAGAACCTATTTTTTATGGAGACATCAGCACTCGAGTCTACAAATGTTGAGTCAGCATTTCTTACGGTCCTCACAGAAATTTATCGAGTCATTAGCAAGAAGGCCCTCATTGCCAATGAGGAACAGGAGGCCTTAGGCAGTTCATCGCTTCTCAAGGGGACAAAGATTGTTGTCCCTGGACAAGAACCAGAACCAGTTCGGAGCTCTAGTTGTTGCAAATATTCATAGGATTATGATTCTTAACCTACACTTTGACGGATTGCAACTGTTTACTATTTACTATATGGTAAGCACGGGAAAGGAAATAATTGCTCTGTTTTGTTGGCTTTCTTGCTTTTCACTGTTTGACCTCGTTTAATTTTTACTTTTCAGAAAGTCATCTTACACAGCTCCTTACGGACCAGGTAAATCGGTCTATCTTCTTGTAAGAAGCTTTTGTAGGCAGATTGGTTTTGTATGCGGACTCACAGAAATGCAATGAATTTGACACGTACTTCTCATATTCAATGCCAATACCATTCCATCATATTGTTTTTCCGCATTCTGGGGATAGAATGTTATGGATTGTTTAAGATCAGATACACACCTACACAGAAGAAACTGGATAAACAAACCTTCTGATCAGAAAAACGAGCATATCACAGTTTAAAAAGTGTGTGAATTGAATTCTAATTTTCAAGGACATGGTGGTCTTCTATGATTTGTTTAACCTATTTAAGTACATTTCTCTGCATAATGCACTAGATTCAAGTACCAGTCATTGCAGCTGATTTCTTCTTTGTATAGGAAAGGTCTAATTGTGACTATCAAAATGATTTTCTGTAACGAATTTATAGAAATTGTTCCTCTTGGTCTGAATAGTTGTTAATACTCTAGTCACTTATATCAAAGTAGATTAATATACTGCTATAATCAATTGGAATTAAGCCAGGAGGATTTGATTTGGTGCCACTTAATTCGTGTTGTTCTGTAACTTTTATAATGTTTGTCTGCATTCCCAAAGGTGTTATTTTGAGAAACTCTGCTAAAAGAAATCCCTGTACATTTTGGCATGTTTACTCACTTGTATTGGAATGTAATGAAAAAAAGTAAAAGGGTTGGAAAGGAAAGAAAATGAATTGATCCCCTTTCTAGTACGTGTGGGCGCTTTGCATGGATCCAGTGGATTTTGTCGAGGAACGTCTTGGCACCATGGTTATAAATATATACGTATGTATATTAGAATAAGGTTTACTAAAATTTTCTTGTGCGCAAAAAAAAAAAAAAAAAAAGAAAAAAAAAAGAAAAAAAGAAGAAGAAGAAGTTGAAATTCATGAGGGCTAGTAAAGCAATTTTATTGTTTATTCAATGGGCATTAAGAAATTAGCATATTCCTCCCAAGTAAACGTAAAACTAAAAAAAGGTCGTGAAGATTTTTATCATATTACGTTATCAAATTTCTTTTTATATTTAATAGTAATACGTAATCATTCAAAACTAATATATATATTATTCTTTTCGTTTCAATTTCATTTCAAGGTTAAGTTGGGGGACAAGAAATTTATGCTAAAAAATTGAATAGTATACTCAAAAGATAATTCAGAACAAAGTTTGCTGATTGCAAATGGTTGATTATCCAAAGTAACCTCTTCCACCTTTTTTTCTTAATTTAATTCTAATTATTAAATTGCACAATATCGACTATAACTTAATCCTTGGAGTTTACGTTCTCCCAAGACCTTTTGGCTGTATAAATTAGGAACAAACAACATTAGGAAGTTTTCATATTACAGATGGTTGGGATATATAAATCATAAATATTGGGACTTCGATATGCTTATTTAAATAATAGATTAATACCACTAGTGCGCTTTAAGTTTTGAATCATTCTCACTTACTTTTAAAATTTTGAAAACTCTCACTATGCCTTCTAAATTTTGAATTTGTCCCATTTAAGCCTTTTCGTAAGAATTTATATTAAATTATAGGAGAAAAAAGAGGTTAAGTGTGATTAACGGAAATTCAAATAGAAAGCCACATGACTGCATTACTCTCTTTTTTATATGTTTTTAACAAAAATTACAACAAAAAGAATTAAGTGGGAACAATTTAAAATTCACGAGACAAAGTGAGTTTTTAAAATTTACGAGCAAACTGAAAATAAACAGGATAAAATTTCTTAAATAATTGAATGAAAAGAGGTCACACACACATTTCTAACTTTTGCCTATAATAATAACAATTTTGGAAATTTCAAGAGATATTTGAAGATTACCCTTCAAACTATCACTCTTCCAACTTAAATAAATACGGCAAATTATACGGTGGAACTCCTCAAATGAAATGTGATATGTATTTATTTGTATATATATTGCTTTTGCCTATAAAAATGCTCATCAGTATCAGCTGGTACATACATACATCGTCATGTGTACATGTATACAAGCAATAATTTACCTTGGCTTGATTCTTATCTGCAAATTAAGCTTATAATATATATATATATATATATATTTTAATTTCATTTATGTCAAGTTCAACAAAACCTAATCAAGTAATTAGCCCCATGGCAAGTAAAAGTACTAGTGGGATCATCATAGGCATAACTATAAGAGGTTGGGCAAGCATCCTTGAAAGCTCTTGAATAGTTAGTTGGTTTGCAGGTTTGAGGGCTCCCATATTCTCCTGTGCAACAATACTCTGGCTGATTGAACGCCATGCATGCACTCATGCACGCGACAACACGTCCACTCTTAGTCCTCACCTGCGCGCATTCGCGATTCGAGAATTTAGAAATTTATTTTTAAAAAAAAATTAGAATTTAGTCCTCACCTACGCGCATTCGCGACTCGAGAAAATTTAGAAATTCTTTTAAAAAAACTTAGAATTTAGTCCTCACCTGTGCGCATTCGCGACTCGAGAAAATTTAGAAATTCTTTTAAAAACAGTATATGAAATATGAAATTACAAAATCCATCCCTACATTCAATTCATACTCACCTGTAGCCCATCAGGGCACCCCCGGTTTAAGTCTGAAACGCATCGGACCGCCTTGCAAGAGTTGGAACTAGACCCCGAACCGCCGTGAGGGGTTATGGACACAGGCATGTTGTAGCCATCAACAAGGCTGACATCATAGAAATCAAAGGGACTGTCTAGGGTAAACTCAGCTAGTGTGGCGGGTGGAGCCCCGCCCGCCCCAGCGCATTTTAGCGCGCCGCCACAATCACCTGTGAGGCACGTTCCCTTTCCCAAGTCGTCAAAGGAGCACCAACGACGACCCCAAAACCTGCCCGACCAGCCTTTAGGGGAAGTGATGTTTACAGATTCACCGGGCGCTAGCTGCAACCCACCACCCATTAGTTGTGGTTTTCCAGCTCCGGGTTGGATCCCGGGCCATATTGTGTTCTTGCATCTGTTTTCTAATGTAAAAACAGCAGCATCCGAGTAACCTATAATATCAAAAACACAACACCCAATAAAAAAATAATAATATTTGAATCATTGATAGAGATAAATGGAAAAGAAATGCTAGTAATAATATGAACAATAAAAGAACTACTCTTGAAAGAAGAAGAAGAATTATGTTCTTGGTATTATACCAAAGAAAAAGAGTGCCAAAAGGTAATAATGCCACAAATTAGCCATGAAAGAGTTGGATTGTTTTGGAGATGAATGTTATGGAGGCTTTATAAATAGAAGCAATGAAGATGCACTTAGGTGTGTGTATATATATACATGTACATATACATATATAAAGGATTTTGAAACAATAACACAGGCTTTGCGCTTCTCAACAAAAAGAGAAAAGAATTACAACACACAAACAAGCTTTTTAGGGAGGATTTGTTAGAGGTTATAATGAAGTTAATAGAATAGTGCAAGAATGAAGGGTGGGTGGGTTTTTCGTTGTGACAAGTGTTTGTGTATATTTTAGTGAAAAAAGCAACAAATTACCAGATTTTTTGGTTTCAGTCTAAAGAGCCTAACTGAAACCGGATTTTTCTTGTACCTCAATTGACCAACGCATGGCCGAGCACTTTATCTTAGAACGAGCAACAAAATATTGGAAACTTTCAACTCGAAAAATCCAACAAAAAAAAGTGTGAAAAGTTATAGGCCTAACTATATATGTGGATTTGTCATCATGTATATCTCACAACAAAATATTTCTTTCTCTTCACGTATAAATACATACATACATACACACATACATATATATATTTGTATATATATAGACACACACACGATTAATCATTTGGAGTTGAAATATTCATTTCCCTTTTACCTGTCATAAGTCCATAACCAAACAATACATAAGCCAGTTGTCAGTTTATAAGCTAGATAATATATGTTGCTATTATATAAATATATATATATATATATATATATATTTATACGCACATGTATGAAGAAGTTTTCAATTGTTACGTTCTTTTTAATCATCGGTAATTATCGATCAAATTATGAAAATAAGTGCATATTTTTATTACAATTGATGATGTGACAATTCATATGACAAAAACGATTAATATTGTACCATGGATGTGATTTGATACTCGAAAACAAGCATTCATGAATAAGAAAATCTCTCTCCCAAAAAAAAAAAAAACATCAAAAACAATTTTAATGGCGAAACTGGCTATCCTCGAGTTTTCTCTGGGAGTCGCATCCAATTCCACGCTCTATTGGGAGACAAATCGAATCCTTAAAATTAAAAAATCTTGGAGACACTTTAGTGAAAGATCTGCCAACTGAGATATTACAACTTCATCGTCTTCGTTGCATAAAAGTCTTTCATTCCATCACACTTCTGCAAATTTTGTTATTTCTTCTATGAATGCGTGATCCGCGGTGAGGCATTTCCGAATTAACAAATTTTCACCGTCAACAGTTGACATCTTTGCAATCTCTTTTCTTGATTCCGGCAAGCAAAAGTAGTATTGATTTAATGAGATCCCTAGGAAATCTGAAACAATTAAGGTTGTCAGAAATTCAACAATTCCGTTATTCTTGCTCGTTTGAATTGGCTAAATATTTCTATTAGGAAACTCAAAGCAGTTCAACTTTTTTTACTCTCTTCTAATTCACCGAGCTGGTTTCGCTCAGCTCGTTCAGAAGCCAATGCTGTCGATTGTTGCCCGAAATTCAGAATTTGCAAATTCACAAGTTCTGCAGAAAGATATCAAGGGATCCTACTGCATGTATATGTGGGGCCAACCTTTTGTCTTGCCCGCTTATTAATAGAGTTTTTTTTTTTTTTTTTTTTTTTGAGGGAATCCAAAAGATGTTGTGCTTTCGTTGACGAAGAATTTTACGGTAGGGCATAAAAACCCAATTGGTAGAGTTTTATTTTGGAAAATAGTAGGAAATAGACCAATATGAAAATTTAAGAAAGTATATAAGTCAATTTTTAGTTATATAAATTAATAGGTCATAACTTGTCAAGTTATGGTTCATAACTAGATAAATTATGGACAAACTTGTTAAGTTAGGGTTCATAACCAGATAAGTTATGGACAATAATTTGTCAAGTTATGGTTCATAACTAGACAAGTTATGGACGAAAACAATAATTTGACATATTTATTAACTTATGTAAACTATTGACCTATTAATTTTAATTCATCTCAAGTCTTGACCTATTTCCCTCTTTCTCCCTTTTATTTTAAACCGTATTGGATTATACTTGTTTTTGTATATTTTTTTTCATTTTAATATGATTTTAAACGGATTTAACATTCAGAAATCTGCACTAGTCCAGTAAAAAAAACCCATTCTTCGGCAAATTATATGACTTTTTATTTCCTATGACAAAAGGAAAGAAGCATTTTAAGTTATCATTTTTAATTGTCTTGTACCAACATTAGCACGGCAGACAAGTTACAGCTATATTAATATATATATATATATATAATTATATGTGTATATGTATGTATATAGCTAAATAGTAGTGCTGCTGGAGAAATTTCAATGATGAGGAGAAAGAATATAAGAAAATAAAAAAGTTTATTACTTTGACTAAGCAAATCCCTTGGAACAGAAACTAGACAGAAAGAGGTAAAGTAAGAAGAAAAAAAAAATCTTACGTAGTTCATACAACATTCATTATTGAACTACTTTAGATGTAGACCGTTGAATTGCTGCCTAAAATCTATAAACTTAATTAACTCTTATTTTCTAAAAAGCTTTCAAGCTGGAACACATGTACTTCTACTTCTTCATGGTCTCACCTGCATAAAAATAAATAAACAAATTAATTAGATTAGCCAATAATAAGATTTTTTTTTTTCAATTCTATTAGCCAACTATAATTAGATTTCTTAATAAATAGGGTATATGTACCATTTTTTTTTTTAAATTCTTTACTACAACTTTTGTTAGCAAACAACTAACTAATAATTAGTGATTAATAGGGTAAACAGGAGGGCTACATGGTTCAAAGTTGGCGGTGCACTTTTCGGGGAGCTGGAGGGCCATGTTCCGGTCAACACCGGAGATTGGAGGGCCATTGATAAGAATACACAAGCAAGGCTGGCCTAGAGCTTTGACGGAATTACAGCAGGCTTCGCTCGGGGGAATGGGGCTAAAAGGAGCAACCGCCGCCCTGCAAGGTATTAGCCTAATGAGAGCACTGAAGAATGTGCTAGTACAAGTCGGGGCGGGGACTGGCAACCCTGGCTGCCCCAGCTGGCCTTGTGCCTCCACTCCCATCATCGCGGTCATGGTCACCAACATAAACACTAAAACTAGCGCATTCATAGTTTTACTATGCTTCATTTTTTTTAGGCCTTTCTAATTTCACAATATAATATACTCTAGTACAGTGTAATTTTTTTTTTCTAGGTTTTTAGTGTTACACCAATTGTGTGTCTTGTGATTTGGATTATATAGAAATTGGGACTGATTTTAGTCATGTCATTATGCACTGCCATCCTAACCACATATCACACTTCTAATGCATATTTGTTGACATCATTGCTTATCTAAAATTTTCACAAAAAGACAATTAGCGTGCATGGAGAACAGTTGTTCAAGTAAAATTCCGTGACCCCACTTTGCAGTTTTGTGAGTGCGTTGGAGAAATATAGGTAATGAATGGTTTTACGCGTAATTTGATGGTTAACAAAATATTTGACTATATTTATTTAAGATTTAATCACTAATTTCGTCAGCGAAATATATTAATCACTACAAATATTATATTTATCTACAACACTAATTAAATTCGTGAGTTGTGGTATTGTTTTGATCTCTATTAATAATATAATATCCTCTTTCTACTGGGAAGATAATTCATAAAGTTTTTAAAAGCTAATTAAAAATAGCTATTCATGACCGTGACCAAAAAAAAAAAACACCAAAAAATAGGAATTAAAATAGGTCTAACAAATTAAGCATCATACCTACAATAGAACTACCAAAAATTTTAATGGCAAGGAAACCACAATTCTATTCCTTCATTAGATTTTGACTTTGTTACCAATCCAAAACAATTCACAATTCTATTCCATGATCTTTGAGTTATCTTGAAACGCGTAATCTTAAACTTGTTATAATTCATTAGTTTCATCACCTTAGCTTTTAGTTTTTTTTTTTTTTTTTTTTTAATAGGATACTTGAGAAAAATTAGTCATGACGTTGTTTGGCATTTATAGAATGGTGTTATTATTAAGGATACCAATCTTTTGCTTAAATTATAGAAAAATTATTGGAGTAAAACATCTTAGCAATTCTTACTTATCTATTAACAAAGTGAACTTGTTTCCGTTCGTTTCACAATTAGATTACAACTCTATTCTCACAAAAATTCTAGTTCAATTTATAGTCACAATATTTTCTCTCAAACAAATTCATTATTCAACTCAAGTTCTCAACTTAAACCCACGAACGGGCAAGTTTCATATTCCAATGTTTCAAGCTTGCAAAAAACAACAATTTCCAACCAAACAATTCCTTCTTTTTATTCAGTAACGAAATTGGAGGACACAATCTGGAATCAGAACTGAGATCAAACATAAGAGATCGAACTAAATTAACCCCCAAAGACATTTCCAAAAGGACCAACCAAATTTGCCACCACTGAAGAAATTAGATGTGGAAAAATACGCAGAAATGTCGAGGAAGTACATTTAGCACGAGCAAATGAAAATGAAAAAATGTCAGCAGGATAGTGTCCTCCGTGGCACCATGATTCTGCAGTTGCGGAAGACATACGCTCGTTTCGAGCATCCTTATTGTGACTCATTTCGTTGCAATACCCCCCAGAAATGTTGTTAAACATTTGAAGTGGCGAAAACACGAATTTTACTTGCCACAGGTTATCAAGATTTCCCAATTTTATCCTTTAAGATTGATTACTGCAAGCTCTTTCTCAACAAACTCCCCTGCGCAGAGAGCGGGATAATTGCTGGCGAGTGGGGACTCTGCAAAGTGGCCTAAGGGTTTCAACACGGTATCGGATGCAATGTGCGCAAACAACTGCATGGGAATAAACAGCTTACATGAGCTTGAGATGCTTGGGGTGTAGTCATACATATTTAAATTTCTACCAATGCCATCCCAGCTAAAAAAACAAAAACTAAATAGAAAGTCAAGTGTTGCAACGAAAATGAAATGTTGGGCGTCACTCACTGTAGAAGATACTCTCCACAGGCTGCGATTTTGCTCCGAAGCTAGTCTGATTGCATCCGTTGTCCTGCTTGTGACAACAACTTCATGCATTCCAGCTATACAATCTCCTCCAGTCAACCATTCTATCTGCAAATAACGTGCAAGTTTCAGAAGAAAATTAGGAATAGGCATAAAAATTGTGTACATGAATGAAGGGTTTTGCGTAACCCCTTTTGGCAACATCAAATAAATACTAGTGATATTCATTGAACTACAAAAGCAACAGCCAACTGCCAATTCAATAAAGAAATAATAAACTCAAGAACGGAATAACATGTATCGCGGCAAGATATATATTCTAACACTACATTATCATACAACGATTATGCTCATCTAATACTTTCCAAGGTAAATATACATAGATGAACCCCTCCTAGCATTCTGGTCAGAGGACAAGAAACAAAAAGTTGCAAATACACTTGCCTGTTTTCCTGTCTGAATGAGAAGGCATCCTACGGGAACCTTCACTTCAACTTTTTGCCCATTTCTTAGCCATATATTTAAACCAGGAAATCTACTTCTGCCATGAATTGTTAAGAAGTTAAGGTCATAGTGATACCCTGCAAAGACAGTGCCCTCTTGGCCATAACGTCGAAGGTCACTCCCCGTGGGAGCTAAAAGATGCGGACCCTGAGATTTGCAAAGAAAAATGAAGTTCAAATATGTTTCCTAGAGTAATTACGAATTGGCCGATGAAGAGTATCATTCATGCAAATACATTTGGAAAAATTGAACATTCGTAATTTATCGACAAATAGACACTCGTGATCTCTTGCGAAAGTAACCAACAAAGTAAATACAGTTCTAAAACTCATATGTTATGCTCAGGCGAACTTCATAAGAGAATGAGCATGCGTGTTTGTTCAGGCGAGTCGCACTTGTCTTTCAAAATAAAAAAGATGCCCCAGTTAGTCACATTTAAATGTTGAAATGACCAAGTTCTGAAGCAAAGGAGAAGCCATATGCTCATTTTCACAGAGCATCAGAAGAACAAAGAAAAGAATAACCTGTAAGAAAAGGGCCAACATACTGAACAACAAACTTGGTTCAAGATATAAGGATAAAGACAGCTGAAACTTTTAAGGTGATTTTGCTAGAAGAACCCTATGAGAAAGAGAGATTGCTATAGTTTCATAACGGGATGGATTGGTTTTATAAAATTATAGTGCAATACAGAAAGAAGTCAACAAAAAGAATGTTAGCATTCTAGGCATTTGTGTATTACTGTTTTCTGATTAGACCACTACTAATCATCACATGACAAGAAATCCACTCGCTCAGTATAAGTTGAATTGACAAAAATCCATCACCTGCTTCATCAAGGAAGTGAATGCATCCTTCGGCAAGCCAAACCCAATGGCTGCCATTTCAGCAACAAACTGAAGAGAAAGAGACTACATGAACATGGCGACAGACAAAATGCATAAGGGGCAGTAACCAGCAAACAGAAAAAGCACATTACTAGTTCACCTCTATTGCCGCAATCATTTTGTACCCCCACGAGTCCATGGTGTCTTTCCATTCAGGAAAGCCCTCAGGTACGACAGGCTCTGCATTCAGTTCCTTAAAAAGAAAAGGAAAACATCAATACAATTAGAAGTTTAGAACATAGCAATCAAATTGCATAAGAACGGAAAGACAAGAGAAGAACATGAGACCTTGAATCGGGTATTTATTGGCCGAGGACCCACTCTCCACATGTAACGCCACTTGCAATCTGGACCCTTGGGAGGGGATGGTCGGTTCTCTTCAGGCATCGCTCTTAATTTCTCTTGCATTTCTTCATCTACCAGGCTTCTCGGGACTTCCACCCCCTCTGGTGTCACCCCAACCTGTTACCCCCATTTTAGACACCCAGAACTAAACATCTTAGCACTGCTTCTCTGAATTAACACATAATCAACATTAGGTCGCATCATAAAAGCTAACTGATAGCATTCTAACACAAAAGTATTTCTCCATTTTACTAATCCCTATGTTGTTAACATATAATCTCCATTTTTAGATACCCCATTTAAGACTTCTCCTAATTTCAAATCCAGACTCTTATCATTTTCACTAGACACCTTGCCAATTAAACTTCATGAAAAGAATAATTTGCAGGAGGGTAAATGAGTTCAACCAAGAAGCTTCGAGAAGGAATCTTTGAGTCGGTAACGTAAAAACATAAAGATACAAAAGAAGACACACCACTTGACCATGGACAAACTAATCCAATTGCTAAAACATAAAATAATCACGCAATTCAAGTATCAGAAATTCTTTCAACTTTATACGCTTTTCCTATTTTAATATAGTTCTTATATGATCTGACGGTCTAAAACAATATAATATGGATAGCGCATTTCTTTTCAACCCACCAAAGAATTCTTCTATCTATTAATCATAGAGATCACCAGTTCAATTCCATGAAAAAGTGACTAACTTTCCCAGCTGAACCAGTTCAAGTAAACAACTTGTCTCTTTTCAGTCTGTGAACACGTAAGAACTACTTCACATTTTCTCAGCAACCAAACAAGCACAATATACAACAAATCCAACTCCAAGAAAACCCCAAAACATAAAATTCAAAAACGCCATTTTCACCAATCAAAACCGGATAGACTACTTGCGCTCCCCTCAAAAATTCAATGTCAACCAAACAGTAGTACAAAATCAAATTCTCACGAAAAAAGAAAACCCTAAAACACAACAAGAATCCAAATTTCTCCCAATTCTGAAACCAATTGGTGGTCGTAATAATCAAATTGAGTACCTGATAATGCAAATGAGGCCTCCCCTGGAGAAGCTTGAACTCGGAAGGAGACTCGAAATACTTCTCCATCATGTCAAGGAAGCGATCGTTGTCCTCCGCCGAGCAGCGCGGGTCCTTGACGAGCAGAGCCCCGGTCTCCCTCAGCGATCGGCTGACCTCGCCGCAGATCTCGGCGACTCGCTCGCCGTCCGCCGCCGACAAGTACTCGGAGAGATCGATCACCGGAAGATCCATTTTCGCTTTCTTGTCTGGGAAAAGGGAAAAGGGAAAATGGAAAATGGAAAAGGAATCTGAGCCGTGAGGAGTGAAAAATGAGATTGTGAGATGGATGATGGCGGGAGAGCTTTTTATTGTTTTATTTTATTTTATTTTATTTTATTGTGTGGAAAAGGAATCTGAGCCGTGAGGAGTGAAAAATGAGATTGTGAGATGGATGGTGGCGGGAGAGCTTTTTATTGTTTTATTTTATTTTATTTTATTTTATTGTTTTGTTTGCGTGCGACTGTCATGCACGCCAACTACTGTAACTTGTTGGAGGGACTTGTTTGGGGACTTTTTCTTTTCTTCTTTCGAGATACAGTTTTAAACGGATCGATCGTCCGTCACTGTTAGCCCATGCACAGTCTGACTCTAATTTTTAATAGGATAATTTGTTTTAAAAGTTCGTCTATAGTTTTTAATTATAATTTTTAATTTTTTATGGTATTTTTTTTATAAAAAATTAAAATTTTAAAAATTATAATCATAATCATAATTTTAAACTCTTAAATTAAACGTCTCATAAGTCTAATCGTACTAAAATTTTGAGTTTAAAAAGTTTATTTAGGCAGGACAAATACTGTATTTTTAAAGATTTTTTTTTAAAAAAAAAATCTTATAAAATTTTAGACTAGGTCGGATTAGGTCATCCCTCTCTCAATTAATGTCGGGATAGCCCATCCCGAAATTTCTATTTAGGCCGTCGAGCCCGGGTCGGGCCACTTTCACCTCTATTCAGAGATATTGATTTGATTTTTCTTTTTTTATTGGATATTGATTTCATTTGAGTAAAGAAAAAAGTGTAAATGTGGTTTTTTATAGAATATTTACGGTGGAGCAAACTATTTCACTTCAACGTGGGATAAAATTTTTCAACTGTTAAATTAATTTTTTAATGGTCTGATCTATACATGTCTGTATTAAAAATCTTATAGTGCGTCACACATAACTGTTCTTAATGTAGATCTAACAGTTAAAAAACTAATCTAACAGTAAAAACACATGTCCCATCAATAAAGCAAACAAAATAACTCACTCCACCTAAAAAAAACTACCTTTTTTATGGTCAATATTTCTTTTGTCAATTATTATTTCGGGAGCACCAAGTTTTATTGTGCAAAGTCACAATTGGTGGACCGATAAGAGACATAAGTAGAGTGTCATTACAAACAATTGGAATCAATTTAGGGCTTTTGGTTCACACGTTAAATTTAGGCCTCGTTCACTTCGCGAATTCGAGTTTTTAATTCGAATTGAGATGTGCTATTTTCTGAGAGCTTTTCACTATAACAGAAAAAGTTAGATGTGACATTTTCTGAGAGCTTTTTACTGTAGAAACCTAAAACTGAAAACTCGAATCGGTGAAATGAACAAGAGTGATTTTGATTTATATTTAAATTTTTATGAGATAACTATTGGCGAAATTTTTTTTATTCAAATTTTTATGAGATAACTATTGGCGAAATTTTTTTTATTCAAATTTTTATGAGATAACTATTGGCGCAAAATTTTTTGATTCAAATTCTTTAAGGGAAAAAAATATTATAGCAGATTCAGAATCATAGGGTTCAAATACGTATATCAAACGGGGTCTTTAAGGACTATTGGCGCAAAATTTTTTGATTCAAATTCTTTAAGGGAAAAAAATATTATAGCAGATAGATTCAGAATCATAGGGTTCAAATACGTATATCAAACGGGGTCTTTAAGATATATAAGTGAAAGAATTCTCATAGGTCATTCTACATCATTATGCCACTGCTATGTGTGGTAAAAGTTAAAGTAACAATATACTTGTTATCATGATTATGTTTGAAAGGTCTGTTTTTAGCGGGTGTCACAAAGAGTGTTATAACACTTTCTGTAAACTTGTGATAAATTGTATTTCAAATTCAACAACAAATAACTAATCAAGCTGAAAAAAATACAATAAGAAAATAACACTAGAAAATGGTATCGTAGTTCGGTGTGCACACTTACATCTGTAGGATCACGCCCATACAGTGAATAATCTACTAAGATGAAATGATTACAAACACTCCACGGTCTTACACACAAAGACTCCCTCCTTGATGATGTCGCCGTTGTGAAGAATCTTCTGAAAGGCATTGTCTAGTGAGCACTACTCGTCTTTGAAAGCTTTCTTCTGAAAGAAATACTTTCTCCTGAAAACAGTACGTTCTCATCCCGAATAACACACTTTTACACTCACAAATTAAAAGTTCACATACAGAGACTTTTTTTAAGAACGTTTCTCTCAAAACACATAGAAATCATAAGCACAGCCCTCACTGTCTGAAAACTATTATCTCGCAATATAAAAGGCCAACCTTTTCACCTTCAATCCTCTTCACCACAATAATACGTTCAGCCACCCCACTTTTCAAAGTCTCCTAGTTGTCACATTAATGATCTCAGCACAAAAAAGCAATCAGCAACATTTAACAGCAATGTCAACCATAGCATCAAATCTCCCAAATATTTTTTGAAATTTCCTTGCCAAAATTTCTGATTTCGTTCATCAAAACATTTCATATTTAGATCCAATCAACAAATCAAGCAACCAAAAAGACCTCTGATCTACATCATAAACACCAATCACCAAGAGTCCCTGTTTTTGAATTTTTTACAACCAATACCAACAATTTGTTGCCAACTAACAAAAATCCTAATAATCTTGAGTATATAAATCCAGAAAATAAAAGAAAAAGAAAAAAGGAACTATTTTCATTTTCTTTGACGAAATTTCATTTTCAATTCGTTCTCATCATAACTAGTGTTAGAAAACGTCACCTAAACATCAATATTCATTTTCCTCCCCACTATCGAATTCTCATGATCAAATTTTTTTTTTCTCTCAACTTGAAAAATATTCTTTTATTATTCCTTCTTGTTCTTTTTGCCATTCTTCTTCTTGAACGAACAGTCCGCCTTCTTGTGATCGAGTGTATACTGTATTGCAATGAAAACAAATTATTTCATCTTTCTTGAATTTCTCTCTTTTGTTTTGTGAGAACTTCTTATAGAACTTTATTGGAAAAAGAGTCATCATCTCCAAATCATTTCATCAGAATTATCACCTCCATCTTCTTCGTGTTCGTATTCCTTTTCTTGAATTTACTTTTAGAGCACTTTTTTCTTTCTTATCTTTTTGCAATTTGATCTTTCTTGTGTGAGAGTTCTTTTTTTAAGGAACTAAACAAATCTTCTAGTCGTAGAATTAAGAGTTCTTTCTCTTCTTTTAGGGTCCGTTTAGTAGGAGAGATAGATTGATAGAGGAATAAATAAGATATGAAGGCAGGGGAGTAGAAGGAAAAAAGAGATAAATTTAAAGTTCAAGAAGTATTTTGTGACAAGAATTGTAACTCGGGAGGGGAGAGGAGACCGTATAATTTAACCAATATTTTACCACCAATGTCCAATAGATTGGTGTAACAGTGAGGATGCATTTTTTTCCCTCTTTTCAGGACGTGCTCAATGTTCGATATTCCACAACGCCACTTTAAGACCCTTGTTTGACCAATATGGTGTGCAGCGTTGAGTGTATAGTGGCATGAGTGAAAATCAGGCCTATCATTTGAGTATAATTGAGTTAGGAACTTTGCGTTCTTTGAGTGAGTTTTAGGATTTTCAAAGTGACGAGTAGGAAGGGGGGCGTGAAAAAAATTGTTTTTTTTTTTAACTAAAAAAAGGACTTAAGGGATGGAATTGAAAAATATTTCTAAAATCTTTGCAATTAAAAAAAAAAGAGATTCTCTAATACGCTTAACAACGTATTAATATGTTAAATTTTTTTAACTGTTGTATTTATATAATTTTTAATTTTTACATAATTTTATACAGATTTAACGGATAAAAAATTTAACCTATCTATATATTAACTACCGAAAAATATCTTAAAAATGATAAATTAAGTAAAAGTTATACATACTTTTATGTTATTACGGCTTTTCAATAATATTGATAAAATCAAGGGGTACATATCGAATTTTGACTTCTTATAATAACTTGGAACTTTACGAACCCTCAAACCCTCTCCTTCTGCTGTCCCTCCCACTTTCTCTCTCTACTCTCAAGTCAGCCTCAGCCTCCCTCACACTCTCTCTCTTTCTCAAGGTCTCTCTCTGCACTTTCTCTCTCTAAGTTTTTTCGTTTCTCTTTCAATGGCAAGCTTATGTTTTCATTTCCTTCCTCGCTTTTCAATGGAGCTTCATCATTTCTTACGATGATTATCCAAAACGAAAAAGAGACAAGAAAAAAGAACTTTTGATTTTTAATCGTCTGTTTATGGTTTCGTTTGTGTGTGGAAATACAAATTTTGTGGATAATCGGATAGAAACTGCAGGAGGGGAAAGAAATGGCCGGAAAATCGAGCAAGGGGAGGAACCGGAAAGTGTCAAATGCTGCGGCGGCGGCGGCGGCTGCGGCGGCGGCGAATTCTTTGGAGCGGGTTGAAGTTCCGGCGAATCCTAGTACCGGCAAAGACGAGAGCTTGGAACAAGTTCCGGTGACAAATGACGACTCTGCTGCCGCTGCCAAGCCGGAGGCAAAAACCGAGCCTGAGAACGACAATTCGGCGGCTCAAGCGAAGCAAGGTAAAGAAAAGATTGGTGGATTTCAGTTAGTTGCTTCGTTGTCTTTTGTTAGGGTTTATTGTGTCAATTTCAGTGTGTTGGAATGAATTTAGTAGAAACTTTGCCTTGCAGTTATGAGAATATTCGTAAAAGCTTATTAAAAAATCACCTTTTTTGTGGTGCATTTGAAGAATGATGATAGATGGAGATATTGAGAAGTTTATGTGCAAAAATATTTGTATTGCGTAGGTTTTGATAAAGAACCCACATGTGGGATGAACCCTAGGAAGCAAAAGCAAAAACAAAAACTCCAAAGATTGATAATTGAATGCTCCTTTGTTTGTCTCTCTTCTTATATCATACCTTTATGTAATGAATTTTAATGACAATCTCGGTATAAAGAATTGAACTTTTTCCCCCTAATCTTGTTTAAGTTTAACAGCTGTTAGTTGTAGTAGTGGTAGTAGAAGAAGTATTAGTCGTCATGTTCAAGCTTAATCTTTATCCCTGAGCTGAATTTGTAGGCTTTATTTGAAACCTTATAATGCTGTCTTGAATCTTGATGTTTGAAGAAATGAATAGCAGGGACTCCTCTTCTTTTTTTCTTTTTTTTTTTTTTAATTTAATTTTTAATGAAAAATCTGATTTGGTGGAGCTCTTGGTTCATTGCCATCTGAGTGCAGGTGACCTTCATCTTTTTCCCGTGTCCGTCAAAGCACAAAGCGGGGAGAAGCTTGACCTGCAGGTGATTTTTTCCCCTCGTTTATAATATGCTAAATGTCGTTAATTATGGAATAGTGCAACTGTGGATGGTTAAGCATACTGCTTTTTTACCTTATGACTTCAGGATTTGTGTTAAGCTACTAATTTATTAATTATTATTATTATTATTTTTCAATCAACTTGAAGTTGAACCCAGGAGATTCGGTTATGGATATAAGACAGTTTCTTCTTGATGCTCCGGAGACATGTTTCTTCACCTGCTATGACTTGTTGCTGCACACAAAAGATGGCTCCAGCCATCACCTTGAAGATTTTAATGAAATTTCTGAGGTAGCTGATATCACCACTGGTGGATGCTCCTTGGAGATGGTTCCTGGTAACTATGCAATTAATTAATGATTTTGTTATTCTCTTTCATGTGTAAACATCGGAAAGATATAACAAGGATCTTTTCTTGACAGCTCTGTACGATGATAGGTCTGTAAGGGCTCATGTCTATCGAACAAGAGAATTGCTTTCTCTTTCCTCACTCCATGCATCGCTTTCAACATCGCTGGCATTACAGCATGAAGTGACACAAAATAAAACAAGTCTTGGAGGTTAAGAGAACCTGAAATTAGATTCGTTGTTTACTTTGTGAATTTCAATTATCCGCTGCACTGTTTTATCCATATGAGAGAGACTTTACTTTAACTAGTATTGCTCGTGCTCTACTATTGACTAATCCAACGGTTGAAAACAGAGGTCCCAGAGCTTGATGGTCTGGGTTTTATGGAGGATGTTTCTGGTTCACTAAGTAATTTGCTGTCATCACCTGCGAAAGAGATCAAATGTGTCGAAAGTATTGTGTTTTCATCATTCAATCCTCCTCCAAGCCACAGGAGGTGAGATTGGCCTTGAACATTTTCACAAACTCCCTCTTCAAAATATAACGTTTGATTTGCTTAATATTTTAACGTGCTCCTGGTATTGGTTGCTGCCAGGCTTGTTGGGGATTTGATATATTTGGATGTGGTAACCTTGGAGGGCAATAAGTTTTGTATTACTGGAACTACGAAGATGTTTTATGTCAACTCAAGTACGGAGAATTCCCTTGACCCTCGACCATGTAAAACTAATTATGAAGCAACCACCCTTGTTGGACTCTTGCAAAAGATCAGCTCTAAGTTTAAGAAAGGTAACATGACTAGTTTGAGTTAAAACTTGAAGCAATGTCGCACCCGTTTGGTTCATAGGTTTGAACAGAAAAGTTTTTGAGTAGAAATTTAAATTTTATGAGAGAAAATACTGTAGCAAAAAGGTTTGAACAGTAATTCGAATCTATGAAACAAACGGGCATGTCATCTTAAAAAATAATGAAGAAATATAATTGATTATTTTCTTTCTTTGCACATTTTGAAGCTTTTCGTGAAATTTTGGATCGGAGAGCTTCTGCACATCCTTTTGAAAATGTTCAATCTTTGTTGCCACCCAACTCATGGCTCGGATCATACCCTGTTCTTGGTGAGCTGATCATATTCACTCTGTTGTTAGTTTGATTCTTCTTGGATCATACTTACTAACCATCTTTATTTTTGTTTTATTACTGCATTATTGTTGTAGTTGTTACAATTGGCTAAACAATCCTTTTTGAATAAATTCCTTTGTTAATGTCCAATATACTTGTACATTTCCGATTTGGGCTATGAAATGTTTATTATGTGTCCTTTTAAAATCTTTTTGACAATATTCCATTAATTCGTGAGTAAATTCTATTGATCCATTGTTATTAGATCACAAACGCGATGCCGCCAGGGCAGAGGATGCCCTTGTTCTTTCATATGGGAGTGAGCTCATTGGTATGCAGCGAGATTGGAATGAGGAGCTGCAGTCTTGTCGGGAATTTCCCCATACAACTCCTCAAGAAGGGTATAAATTTCTAATGGACTTGTCAACTTGTCAAGTTTTAGCTTTTGTCAATTATGACTAATTTGTATTACTGTACATATTTAATGCTTCTTGTTTGTAGTATTCTTGACTGTTAAGAATGTGTTCTGCAGAATTTTACGGGATAGGGCTCTCTACAAAGTAACTTCAGACTTTGTTGATGCTGCAATAAGTGGTGCTATCGGTGTAATCAACCGATGTATACCTCCCATAAATCCTACTGATCCAGAGTGCTTTCACATGTGAGTATGACCTGAGAAAAGGCATTGATTTCTTAGTGAACTTTTTCCTACCGAAGATGTTTCCTAAGCTAGTGCCCATCCGTTTTGTCATTGTCATAGCAAAAAATTGAACCTCACTAAGCCAAGTGTGAACCTCATGTTTACATCAATTACTTGAGCTAATTTTCGACTGAATTTTCATTGCCAGCGTTTTACATATTTGTAATTTAATGTTGAAAAGCTTTCTTTCGATTAAGAAATTTCAAACATATATATATATATATGTATTATTATTATTATTATTATTCAGCGTAGTATATTTCATCTTTCTCAGAGTAACCTTTTGTTGTTTTGGTCACTCTGGCTTTAGGTATGTCCACAACAATATATTCTTCAGTTTTGCTATTGATGCCGATCTTGAGCAGCTGAGCAAGAAATGTGTGTCAGAAAAGTCTGAGATGACCACTAATAGTGGAATTTCCAATGGGGAAAAATGTGATAAATCATGTAGAGAGGAACATGATATTGTCACGGAATCGGCTCGGGATGTATCTTCCGAGACTCAGTCAGCTGAGACTGAGCAAGCCACGTATGCCTCTGCAAATAATGATTTAAAAGGCACCAAAGCTTACCAGGAAGCTGATGTCCCTGGCCTCTACAATCTGGCAATGGCCATAGTTGATTATAGGGGTCACAGAGTTGTGGCTCAGGTGGGATTAAAGATTATGTTCTTTTTTGCTTTTTCTCTATGGAATATTAGTTTTATTGTTTCTAGCTCTGAACTAAATACCATTTTTAAAGTGGGGAAAATATTTTCAGCTTTTGGTGGAAGTTCTAGAACCAAGGCGCCATGGGGGGATCTTTATTTTTTAGCTTTTCTTTTTTGTTTTGAAAAAAAAAATATAAGCTCAGGATGCCCCCTTTCCTTCACGATTTTTCTTAACACCCCATCCCCCCCCCCCCCCCCCCCCCCCCTTTTTCTCTTCTCTTCAACACTACTTTTT